CTTCCATTTATCTGTGACTTCCAATTAATAAATGCTTTGTTGTAAAGTTGTGAGCCATCCTGAGTGGAGCAGGGCACTATCAAACTACTTAAATACTGACAGTAAGAATTTTCCTTCTAAAAAAAAGGAAATGAAAGAACATGATGTGAGTCACAGAAAAGTTCCCCCATGTAAGAAGGGGGATTCTGGGGAGCCGGTGAGATCATAGAGCACAGCACTGGCACGGTGGGCACTTAACCTTCAGATAGCTTTTAGCTTCTGTTCAGGGTCTGCATGTCAACAAGGCCTAGAGGAAGTCTGTATGCACKGATTTTCACCAAGGAATAGAACTACCAGAGTGTGGCCAGCTTGTGTTCAAGAGAGGTGACTTTCCACAGCGACAGTGACCTTGCTTATGGCTGCTGCCTGTCAACACACTAAGCTGCTGGGCCCAAAAGAGAGGTGCCCCCAGCCAGAGTGTGCCCTGGTGCACAGAAACCCAGTCACCCTCAGGGAGCCTTGGAGGCAGCTCCTTGAGCCACCTGGAAGGTGTTCCCATGCTCAGGGAGGTGTTTGTGTTCCCTATTACTARGCTTGAGGTCATGACATGTTCTAGTCAGATAAATGCAGGAGCTGAAAGGACACCCATCCATGCTATGCGGGCTGCTTCTGAGGGAGAGATCTCTGAGTGTGAAAAGTGAAATGGTTCCAGTCTCCACTTACTGGTCTTGAAGCTGTAAAGCTTTTTGGTGCCTTGTCTCATCCACAGGGGCATCTCACTCCTGTCACTTTCATTCTGCTTTTAAGACTGGAGAGGAAATGATMCATTCTTTTCAAGCACCTATAAATCTTGGAACAGAGCACTGTGTGCCTCTTGTGTAATTGKTGATGTTATTATCACTTTCTTATTTGGGATATTAAGCAAACCTTCCTTTCCCTGATGAAAGACCAAGAACACCCACTACATGTCTAAAGCAAGAATATACAAGAGAAGCTCCATAAATGGTTTTTGAGATGGAATCTGGAGAGGAGATTTGTGAATGAGATCTGAGTTTTATGGAAATGCATTCCACTTGTGGAGTTTAAACAGAAATCTATGGCTGCTGTGCTCTGCCACTTGTAGCTTTTTGGTATTCTTCACATATTTTTTTCTCTTTTCATACTTAGATAAGGTTGCGCTTCCTTTCCCATCCCAGGGGATTGCCAGGGAGTTTTGAATAGAGTAATTTCATAAGTTGAGGAAGTTCTTACCATTTCTGTAGCTGGGTCACCTATGCATGATTGCAGCTTTAAAGAAAAATTTTTCAAAGGTGGCTGGGGATTTGACTACTCAATTAAACCAAGAAAACYTCAATCTCCCAGTCCTCTGAGGTGCTTTGGAAAAATCTCTTGCTAAATGTAGCAGCCTAATGAAGATCTAAAGATACATAAAGACATTTTCATATCTTTTTACTAAAAAATCAGGGGCTACATCCACCTAGAGGAAATTTGACAGGCATTAAAGAACATCACGAACTCCACAGAGGGAAAATGTATTCCATTCTTCTGGACTGCAACTCAGTAGCCCTGTTGTTTCTTTCCTGAAGCATGGCTAAATCACAGGGCTAGGGCAATATATTTGTTGTATTTTGGGGCTTTCCACAGGCAACATAAAGAATGGCACATCAGAGGTCTGCAGCATACTGCAGAAGTGTTCACCCAGGTCAGGTGGGCTTGATTCAAGTTCACGCCTCTGTATTTCCATTCCTGTTCATAAGTAAAACAAGAATTGCCACTAGAACACTGACATGAAAGCTGTCAGAACACTGAGGGCACCAGGTACCCCAGCTGCCTTGCCTAACCACCCTCTGGCCCTTGAGCCAGCAGTCTCACTTAAGCTCAGGCTCAGGCACTGGCTTCTGTGTAGTGCTGTGCTGTTTGTTTGCTCTTCTTAGTCTGTGTCTTGCTGTTCTGCCTGTATTTCAGGGTTGTTGTATTGCGTTGGGTGACCTGTTACAGTTTAGGTGCTGCAGTTGCCTTCGTGAGGCCTGCCATGCCCTGGTCTGCTCTCCTGAAGCCGTGTGGGCTGTGCCCCGTGGTTTGAGGGCATGGCCATGCCTGCTGAGGGTTAGCTGGAGATCGCAGCTCTCCCGCTGCTGGTGTGCCTTGGACAGCAGTGCTGAGCTCCCACCTAACATCCAYCCCTGGCACTGGGTAACAACAGGAGGCTTCCAAGAACACCCCTGAGAACCAGGCCGCCCTGGCTACAAAGTGCCAGGTACCAYGGTATTTGCAAACATATGGTAAGCTTATATGCAGGTATAACTGAGATTTTGATTGCTCTGGAAATTCTCATCACACTTTATTGACTGGTACTATAATCACTCCAGAGGAGCAATCCTATTACTGTTTACATATTAAAAGCTTTTTAGTTTATAGTGTTGTTTGGTGCAACACATTTTTAAAATTTATTCCTTTGATTTATTTCATGTAGAGCTGTACACATGAGCTTGGTGAGTCATCTGATGGAGAAACATGGTGAGAATCAGAGCAATAGTGGTGGGTTGCTCTATTTATTGATAGGCTGTATTTCCTTAGCGTGAGCTATAAACAACAGATGACTTAGGGAAAGAAAATGATGGATATTGTCTATGTAAAGGTTGTCTATAACATTCAGCAAACATGATTTGCACAAATTCTGAAGCTCACACCATAGCAGAGGATTGCAAAACATATCTGTCTGCTAGCTCCCTTATGTTTTTCTAGGCTGAATCTGTGAAGTGGCTTGGCTTCAGTGATAATACAATCCAGATGTTGGCCTACAGAGAGCAAAAGTATTTACTAAGCAGGATAATTCCCTCTTGTTTCACTGATAAATTCACCAGATTCGCCTCGCCTTGCTGAACAGTAGCAGGAAGCTCTATATATTGTCAAATGGCTCACTTATACAAGTTGCTGACACCCACCCAGTAATGGCATCGAGTGTTGTTTTTGCCAAGTATTCGTGGTGTGGGAGAGAGGGAATTGGGATTCATTTTACCTTGCAGGCTAAAGTTTCTTGAAATCTGGTGTATTCACTAAGCAGGACACAAGTTGGGGTGGTTTTCTGTGACAGGGCATGCAAGTCTGTCAGCAGTTAAGTGCTTAAGGGAGTGGGAAAGCTTTGGGACTTATTTCCTTGGACAGTATCATATCTAATTGTTAAGAGTATCATATCTAATTGTTAAGGAAAACTCCTTTTTCCCAGAATTTGTCTAGCTATCATGATTCTGCATCTGTAAGCTTTCTGCAGAACTTGGCTTTTGCTCTATATTATTCCATGAGTGCATTCTGGTGATGTTTACGCAGTTGTTAAGGGCTGTAACACCAAGTTCATTCAGAAATGAAATSGGGAGCTGCATCCTGATGCCTTGATAATCCAGGTAACTGCTTCTTTGACATTGCATTGCAACTAGTTTTTAAATGGAGTTTGCTGTAGAAAATATGGAAGTATGTAGACCTGTGGTGCTGGAAAAAATGCTAAACCTGTTGGTGAACATTTAGGGGATAGGTGATAAAGCAGTGGAAAGTTTTTAAAGTAGTCTGAGACTCGCTGTACAGTCTTTTGTAAGTGACCTCTTGTTTTCTGTGCARCTTAATGCAAAGCTTCTCTTCATGGCTCTTTTATGAGCATTGTTATCTTGTCTTGAGTTCTGCAAGTTGAAGTTAGTTCACAATTCTGGTAGCCAAAGCTATTGCCCTAACAGGGAATGCATGTAGGGAGAAATCCAAATCACGTTCAAGTCAYACAGAAGATATCTCTGTGGGAGTAAAACCAATAAGTTGGTCCAGGAAAAATGCAGGCAGTGTGTTAATCTATCATCCCCACCTGTTGTCTATAAATTTCAGCCAATTTCTAGCCAGTGGTTACTTTTAATCTATTCCCTGAATGGAAGGATTGTTGTCAAGGTGGAAGCCAGATCTGTCCCTGATTTTTCAAGAGGCTAATTTTGTTTTATTAAACGTTATGTAGAGTTAAATACAGGAACCTTTGGTACAAGGGAAGGTAATTGTTTTACAGAGSTGGTCTGTAGGGAACTTAGTGGAGATGGCTTTTAATAAAAAGCATCTGGAATGATGCCATGATTTAATTGAAAGGCCACCCCACTGAGCAAGGCACATGCTAAGGCAGGAGGGTGTGGTTCCATGAGMACTATGTCACTCTGTCTCGATTGCACCAATCTGTGCGCCAAGGCTAGAAGCCATCCTGAGCAATGAACATTTCATGGGAACATGAAAAGGAGTGAGGTGTAGGGCACAACCATGACAGCTCCCTGATCTGGCTGTTTCTTGATGCCTTAGCTTAGCACCACTTGAGAGAACCCAGCTAGCTGGGACCATGACAGTGATAGCACTGGAGTACTTCTGAAGGGRAGGCTTTCATCCAGTGAAAATTTTGTATTGAGGGGCATCTTTTGGTTAGAATAGGGTGTTTTGAACAGTGTGTCCATGAGCTGTGGTGGTGCCCAGCACAATTCCTGTTGCCCAGCCAGAGGTTTGACCAGCATCTGGTCAAATGGTAATGCTCTGTGTTGACACCACTGTGTTAGAACTGTGCTACAACCCAGGCTGTCTTTGAGAGAATGAGGAAAAAAAACAACACGTGATTTAAGAGCAGGCATCCAGTCTTTTCTCAGCCAAGGTGAAGAGGAGACTTACTCTATTCTGTGGGGCATGGTAATTCTGAATTCAGAAGCACTCAGCTGGAATGAACTGTGCTCTGGAGCAATTATTTCAGTTTGCAGTGTTATTCCTTAAGCCCTTAAGGGCTTCCCTAAAGAAATTGTTGTGGTGTCATCCATGTGATAAGTAATAGTAAAAATTGTAGGACTTAATACTAAGGGGTTTGAAATCTTCAAAAGCTCAGACAACAATGAGAGAACAGTGTTACTGCCTTTGTCAACTCATTTCTAATTCAGTATGTCACAAGAAGGCGTGCAAAAAATACTCATCTCAATAAAAATCCCACAAAGCAATCTGATGTAAAGYGTGGTTCATTTCAGTTGTGCACCAGCACCACTCCTGCTGGCCTCTGCGGTGTGTTSGACAGAAGTGAACATTTCTTCTGGGAATGTGCTGAGAAATGTGAGGAGCCTGCTCAGGAAGAAGCTGATACCTTAACTTACTGCCTGAGGTAAGAAATACTATCCAGAGTAATTACCCCAACAAATGTATCAGATAGAAATAAATACTTAGAAATAATAAGTGCAGTGCCAATCGTTCATTATGTTAAACAYTCTGTCCCCCCAGAGTCCTCCTGGGAATGTAGGCCAGCCCAGACCCTGCAGTGATTGTCTTTAATAGCAGCATRAGGAGAACTGACAGTCACTGTTCCCTCCCACGTTATTCAGTATGGCAGCACACCCAAACTGAGCTTGTARCATATTGCTGGATAATTTCTGTATCGCATTAACAAGTTTTGACACTAATACTAATGCTTCATTAAAAGAATCATGACAAGTAGGTTGGTTTGATGTGTGTTTAGCACTGAAAGATTTCCAGTACATGCARTGAAGACTTTTATTGCTGTCTGACAGCTTTGGCTATCTCCAGTCTTTGCTCAGTCACAGGGGAGGTGCAGCCAGCAGTGCTGCTTTCCCTCTTTTGGCYGCACTGGGGTCCTGGTGTAGAGACTGATTCTTTATGTACAGGCACAGACATTTAATCTTCAGGTCTGTTTTCTTTGGGGTCTCCCTCGCCAAACACTGCMGAGGAGCACAGAAATGGGGAGCTGTGGCTTTGCTGGGTTGTTCAATCGGGCAACAAAGCCAACACTCCTGACACTGCAGAGGTTGTACCGTGGCTTGTACCGGAGCTTGTACCGGGGCTAGCGTGGCCGGTATCGGGGCGGGGTCGGACTGTGGCTAGGCGGATGTCGGGACCGGGGGCGGGGCGGGGCCAGGCCGGGCCGGTAACGAGGTGGGCGGGGCCGGTAACCAGGTGGGCGGGACCGGTAACCAGGTGGGCGGGACCGGTAACCAGGTGGGCGGGGCCGGTAACGAGCCGGGGCTGGGGCGGTGGCGCCTGCGCGGGGCCATAAAAGCGGCGGCGCCAGAAGCAGCAACTCTTTTTTCAGTTCCGTGGTCTGCGGGCGGGGAGCGGCAGCAGGAGTCCMGGTAAGGAGTGGCGGGACTGGGATGGCCTGGGAGCCTCGCCCGGGCGCGGTGCTTTGCCGGGGTCAGGTAGCTTGGCGGCGGCCGGGTGCCTCGGCGGAGACCGGGAGCTTTCCTGGAGCCGGGTCCCTTGGCTGGGGTTGAGGGAGTCCACGGCCCGGGCCGGTGAGGAGAGAAGCTGCCGCGGGCCGGGCAGGACGGTCCGGAGCGGAGGGSGAGCTGGGACTGGCCCATCCCGCTGCTCGGGCCGGGGGCCGTGCCATTCCCGGCGCGGGTCGGGCAGCGGCGGCCGTGGGGTTCCCGCGGCTCCGGGCGAGTCCCGGCGGCTCTATGGGCTGGGGAGGGCAGCGGCTACTGCCGCCCGGGGCCTTCMCCGGAGGAGTTTGGGGGCGGCTGAGGGGGTTTCTTCTGGTGGAGGTTGGGGATAGGCGGGAGGTGTTTGTCTGGGGGTCGAGGGCATGGTCCTCGTTGAGGAGTTTGGGGCTTTGGAACGAGGAATGTTCGCCTGAAACAGGTGTATTCCTGCTTTCTCGGCTGGACTCTGTTCCCGGGTGGGGTGGGAGGTGTTGCAGCTGTTTTTCTGTTTGCAGGTGAAATAAATTTGAATAAAGTGATTCCCTACACCCGTTAGTGCTGCCCCACACATACACAGGAGGGGACCTTCCGTGTAATGAGGGTGCCTCCATTCCCAAGTTCCCAAGCAGTTCCCGTAAACTGGATATGGGGTGGTGGGTGGGCAACATTCCTTCCAGCCCCCTATCACTACATCACACATGGGGTCACAAATAGAGTTGCAGTGCTTGGTCTTAACTCTCAAGTGCCACGTTTTGGGTGCTTGAAATATGCTGAGTGGGTTTGGAGCTCAGAAGGAGACTAAGTCCTCCATTTTCCACAGCTGAAAAGGGAGACTTAAGTCCTTTGCGTTTGGGGTTAAAAGCAACAACTAAGTCTTATGTTTTCACCTTTTGAGAACAGAGACTAAGTGTTGCAGCTTTGGGCCTTGAACCCAASCTCTGGGGGTGATTTTGGGTACCAAAAGCACAGCCCTAGGTTTGTGAAGCTCAAAAAAAMCCTAAGTCCTGCATTTTCTTTTCTTGAACGTGCAAATTAAGTCCTGCATTTTCTGAGGTCAAATGAAACACACTACCTCAGTGTTGTGCTTTTGGGGCTCAGAAGCAGAGGGTGGGCAATGCTTTTCTGAAGCTCAGAAAAAAACTAAGTCCTGCATTTTCTTTTCCTGAAAATGCATGCTAAGTTCAGTATTTCTGGGACTCAGAAAAATAACTAAGTCCCTCTTTTTGGAGACTTGAAAACAGCCAGCTCAGAAAAATTACTAAGTCCCACTTCTTGAATATTTGGCAACAGCAGTTCAGCTGGTTGTTTTTCAGCCCCCAAACAGAGGAACTTCGGGTGGGAGGGCTGGGCATGAGGACCCTCTCCGGAGGAGGGGGTCTGGGGGGATGTGGACCCTCTCCGGAGGAGGGGGTCCGGGGGGATGTGGACCCTCTCCGGAGGAGGGGGTCCGGGGGGATGTGGACCCTCTCCGGAGGAGGGGGTCCGGTCACCCTGCTTTCCAAACTCAGGGACGCCGGCATGCACCAGGCTGTTTTAAGGGTGTGAGATAGTCTCAGGAGCGAAAAGCACTTTTCACCCCTTTTTCCCATGTCCAACTGTTCATTGTGTACAACAGTTATTACTTATATTTAATAATGTTATGACAGTTAATAGTAATATGTAGTTGATGACAGTGAGTGATTTACAACTTGGCCAAAAGCCCAGCTAACTTCAATTAGCTGGAGCTTTAAATTGGGTKGTAACAAGAAGCAGCATTTATTAAGGCAGAGCTGAGAGCAGCTCAGAACCAGATGAATGGACTGAAGTGAAGCAGCCATGAACTGGAGCATCGCAGAGCTGGAACAAGCTGGAGCAGCCATCAGCTGGAGCATTGCAGAGCTGGAACAAGCTGGAGCAGCCATCAAAGTAGAGCTCCTCAGCACTGGAACGAACTGCAGCAGCCATCAAGTAGAGCACCTCAGAACTGGAATGAAGAACACTCCATAGCCAGAACTGGAGCATCAACAAGCTGGACCAGGTATCACCTGCAAGTGAAACAAAGAGAAGGAATTGAAATCACCTGGGTCCTCAAATATCCTGAGTAATAAGTCTGCAGAGGGTCCATCAGCAGGCGTTGTATGAACCAGAAGCACCTGATGTCCATGGTGTTGGAAGAACCAGAAACACCTGGTGTCCATCAGCTGGAAGAACCAGGAACACCTCCTGGTGTCCAGCGTGTCCATCAGTTGGAGCTGTAACAGGTTTATCTGAGGGAGAGCTGAGCTCACCTGTGGCTGGAGCAGGAACRTCTCGTGGCCAGAGCAGAAATTGCTGCACCCTCAAGTCCAAGTCAGGCACGGGAGTGAATGTCCAGATCTGGAGCTCAGAGCAGCAGGGGTCCCCAGCTCTCCTGGGGTGGTAGTACAACAGCCACTCTCTCCTCTGTCCCTGCAAAAAGTCAAGAGTCACCAGAGTGCACCACACAACACAACACAACCCCACATAACCCATAGGAAAAGGGCCTGGCCTGGCACAGCACCTTCCCCTGGYCACCCTCGCCCTGCCCCAGAGCAGGACTGGGGAGCCACAGACTGTGCTCCACATTCTAATAAACATTACTGAGCCAGGCACAGCACAAACCCTGATCCCACCGAACAAGGCACAGGGCCAAACAACAAACACAGCTGAGCCAAGCCTAACGCTACCAAATGAATATAAAATGAAATACCAATATCAAATGATGCAGGCCAGAACAACCAGAAGCCCCTTGGGAGGGCTAGCAGGAGAGGATTGTCCCCAGCCTGCCCATGACCAGTAGCCAAAGCAGCACATGCTGGAGAGCTGCTGCTGATGTGTGGATGAGCCACCCCGGTGCAGCTGTAGCACAGCACCTTCTCTCAGACAGGGTGCTGTCCAGAAGCAGTGCCAGTGCAGCTCCAAACCACACCACACCAGGACAGTACCACACAATCAGAAACCATAAGCACAACCACCTAAATTGCACGTTCCCCAACAGCACAGCAGAGCTGCCCATGGGTACTCACCAACCTTTCCCTCCGGAGCCAGCCTCTCGCAGTGCTGTGCTGGGGCCATGGTCTTCACCTGGGCTCAYGCTCCCATGTCAGTGTGTCCAGAGCTGCTCCTGGGTGGGGCCGTGTCCCAGGCTGAGCTCTTCGGCCAGACCCCTCTRCTGTTTCCTGCATGGAGACAGTCCCTGGGGAAGAAGAGGCTGCAGCTTTGCCTCTTGCAAGATGAAGCTCTTGCCCTAGCAAGAGCTCCCAAGCCACACCGCAGGTCCCCGCAGGCAGCAGAACCCAGCGGTGAAAGCAGGCCGAGGGCTGCTCTAGAGGCTTTGCCTCTTCTCCTTCCCCCYGCTGTGGCTGCAGTCCCACCCACCCCTTTCCAGCCTCACCTGCGGTTTGGTGGCTCTGCCTCCCTCCGCCGAGCCCKGGAGCAGGAACCGGGCAGTGCCGAGCGGGGCTGCACGGCCAGGGCTCTGCACAACCAGGCACAGGGACGGTCAGGAAACCMTTGYCCAGACTTACCCAAAATTCACAGGAGGGACCAGGTGCCTGCAAKTGGCCCGTTCTCYGGGAGARCCCGATCGGGGGATGGGGCAGCTGTGCCGRGCAGCCTCGTCTGCAGTTTCTCCACAGCTGAATCTCTGYCAATACATTTGGAAAACACATTTCTGTAGCCACAATGTCCCAGCGCGCCGCCTGGCTCCCTCCGTACCGTGTAACGTTTCCCGCGGGAGAGCCCCAGACCGGGGCCAGCTCCGAGCTCCCGGCTCGGCCCCGGCACGGCTCCGGCACTGCCCCGGCCCGGCTCCGGCGTGGGAGAGCACGTACTCACCGGGGCCCGAGCTCCGGAACGCCTCGTCCATCGCCGCGGCCATCCAAAGGTCTCTCCGCTCGCACGGTCCTGCCGGGGGGAGAAAAACAGGCTCACGGCACGGGAGTCCCGGCCCCAAGCGGCGGCCCCGGCAGCGCCTGGCTCCCCGTTCCAGGTCACTCCCCGCCGCAGGACCGCTCCCGCCTCTCCGCCAAGCCGCAGCTCCCGCCAGGGCCCTGCCGTCCCGCCGGTAAAAGGCGGGAGCTGCGCACTGAGCATGCCCGGGGCGGGGCCGCCTTCCCGCGCTCCGCCCCCGCCGCCCCAACGGCCGTGGCGCCCTCTGGCGGACTGGCGGTGGCAGTGACACGGCCCCTCCAACCCGCAGCCGTGTCCCGGCCGGGAAGCGTCCCGTGTCACCCCAGTGTCACCCCAGTGTCACCCCAGTGTCACCCGGCTCACAGCCGTGTCCCCGGCCGGGAAGCGTCCCGTGTCACCCCAGTGTCACCCCAGTGTCACCCGGCTCACAGCCCTGTCCCTGCCCGTTCCGGAGGGTTCCGTGTCACCCCAGTGCCACCCCAGTGTCACCCCAGTGTCACCCGGCTCACAGCCCTGTCCCTGCCCGTTCCGGAGGGT